CACACATTTTTCAATAAAATAATATTTTCCATCACATCAATAATTTTTTCTTCTTTTTCAATCACACATTTTCCATCATATCACTATTCAAAATCAATTATTCCCCCAAAAATCTCTCCCAAACAAGCTCTTAACAAGATATAAATAGGTACAATTGTTTGAAATAGAAACATTAATATGATTGCGAGAAAATTGTATATGCTTCATGCGATCCAATTGTCCAAAATAAAATTAACTTCTCTGTGAACATCTTCTAACTTCTCTAAAATAAAATCAAGTTTCTTGAGGGAAGACTTTGTTGAAGGCTTTCATTTAACTCTATCTTTGAGGGACGGATTTAGTGGGGGAGGCTATAGCCCGGCCCATTAAATTTTAGTGTAATAGCCCGGTTTGGAGTTCAGTTCTGAATCCGTCTCTACCATCTCAAATGAATAACAATGCTTGAGTAAGTTTTCCATTCTTGCAATCAAAAAATACAAAATGATCATGATAAATAGAATGAATAAGCTCTATGTCAAATCATCAATTGAAATTACATGTTTAGAGGTATTAAAAAAATATCATCTCCATAAATACTTATCATTTAGTTAAACTACAAGCAATGTTTTTTAAAGTCACAAAAATAAAGCAATACGAGATGCTCAAACACTGATATTTTAACAGCATTCTGAGTGAACATATGTTTGATCAAGTCAAATTTACACCTTGTGGAGATTTAAACGATAAGGCGAGTCAGTTTCATTTGTCTATCATATCATATCATAATGCTTGGTAGAAGATGATGTGGGCTTCAACTTGAAGAAAAATAATATTTGATTAGCACAAGTCATAATAATCATTTAGAGTATGTTTGGTTTGCTATTTTCAATTTTTAATTTTGCAAAATGCGAACAACTTGTTTGGTCTGATATTTTTGAAAATATATTTTCGAAACTAAAAAATTTATAATAAAAACTCAAAACTCATTTTTGACCTTTTTAGTATTTTCCGTAAAAATTTTGAAAACACTCACAACATGAAAAACAGATGTTTAAATAAAATTTTGAAAAATAAAAATATGAAATTCTAACAAATGATTTTAAATTTTTTTTTAAATATTGAATAAATAAAATCTAAATTTGAAAAAAAACTAAAATTCTAAAGAAAATTGAAATATAAAATTTTCTAGAAAAATAAAAATAGTTCAAGCTTTTAATGATTATTTACATAATAATTCTAATTTTTTTAAGTAAACATAGATAAAAATATTCTCAATCCATGTCATTAATTTTTATTTCTTATATTTTGAACTCAATTTGTTATTTATTTTATATTTATAACAAGGAAAAAATATTTTCTAAGATTTATCAATGAAATTATATTACTTAATAATATATTAACATAAAATCGTTCCATTTTTATTGAATAATCACATTTTATGGAATAACATCATACAAAAATTTCAAAATTTCAAACCTAACTTGTTTTCTATTATGAGAAATAAATTTTCAAAATTATAATATAAATGCGTTAACAATCTTAAAAT